GTAAGGCCCTCAGGCGGGCACTCAGCAGCAAGCTCAGTGCTGGGGAGAATGGGAGGCAGCGCAGTGAGGCTTTAATTAGAGCAAGGCCTCAGACCTGGTGAGGGATTTTAGTGTGCAGAAGGAAAAGAAATTTCAAAATACCCATTTGGTAGCAATGAGCGAGGGTAAAAAAGATGGTTATTTTATTATGGAAAGCAAACAAACAATGAAAGCCTCCATGTGTTCACGAATACAGAATATTTGTACTGGCTTTTTTTTTTTTTTTTTTTTTTTTTTAAGCAATACTAGAAAACAAATTCCCTCTGCCGGCCAAACAGAATGAGAGTGGACACAAATACTGGTCTCCAACCCTTAGCAGAAAGGGCCTCGGAAGCAAAGACAACATTAAATGAAAGATGCAGAATCAGCTATAAGACCAAAGAACAATTTTCTGGTCACTGAGATGTGTAGGCCACAGCGGTGATGTGCTGGGCTCACCTAACAAAGACGTATGATTTAGCAACTGGGTTCTATTTACCTGCTGACCAGAAAGCTTTCTGCAGATGGTCAGGAGCCAGGCCTCCCTGTCCCTTGCTGTCAGCAAGGTGAAAAGGCAAAAGCATCTTGCCTGCATCACAAATTCAAATTTTTGCATTCAAGGGCTCCTCAGCCTAACATCTGCTCATGAATTCGAAAGTGGCAGCCGTTATTGAGGTCACCTGGCAATGTAGGCAGACCAGCTTGGAGAAGGGTAGCCAGGCATACGGTGGCTTATTAGGAGCCAAACGCATCTTAGTAAGGTGGTGAGAGAAAAGACTCAGAGTCCAAGCAAAGACCTGTCCTTGACATTGGCTGATCTGCCTGTAAACTGAAGAATGGGTTCAGGGAAAAGTAACAAAGGTTTCTTTTCTGCAAAAGGAATGATACATAATTGTGCCTATCCATATCATTATTTAGCCTTGTGTGGGACCTGAACAGAATCTCATGGGGGCCCTGTCAAAGTCCATTTTGCCTGTCTGATGACAGTGTCTGTTACCTAGTAAATGCTCAACAAGTACACCAAGAGGTGAACCAAATTGCTGAAGCATCTCTTCCGGCCACCCTTGGCAGGCAGTCGTCTACAACGAAGGACTAGAACAAGCTTGTCCTGCAGGAGGAAGTTTCACAAAACCAATGATGTCTGAGGAACCAGCCAGACCACCTCTGTGATACTATGTAGTCTGTTAAGTTAGGGATTGGTTTTTAAAAAGTGCTTCTAGAATGTTCAGAAGGCTTTTAAGAACCGTATAGTGCTTAACGTGTGTGTATAACAGATCATCCCTGTTCTCTGGTCTTCATCTGCAGACTAACCTGACAGGCATAGAAAAGTACTGGCTTTTAAGACCTTTCTTAACCCTATTACTATGATAGATAGACAGGCAGGCAGGCAGACAGACAGACAGACAGACGGACGGATGGAGAGAGAGAAAGGCCTTTCCAAGCCAGGGCGGGAGAGTGTGTTAGGCTTTTCCAGACAAAGGCTGTTTACTGGCCAATTGAAAATGCAGACCCTTGGAGCATTTTGCCTTTGGGAAAGAAGAAGAAGGGAAGGAAGAAAAGAAGGGAGGAAGGAAGGAAAGGTAGAAAGAAAGAAATGGAAGGACGTCTCAGTGTTTTGCTATGAGCTTAAATCCTGGAGTCCTTATGAAAAGCAAAACAAGATACTTTCCAGAACATTCCTTGCTCCAAGAGGCTGTTACTGAGTTGATATTGGGTCTATGCCAGTGTTGCATCACTACTTGGTATGCAGTGCCAAGAGTTTCACTCTACCTCCCCAGGTAGATTTGGGGTGCTGCTGGGGTCAGAGGCAGCCTTATCTGGTGTCTGACAGGGGCCTGGGCTGCTTTCCCATCAGGAGCTCCCTATGAGCTCCCTATGGCAGGAGCAGCCATGAGGCTGTGAAGCCTAGCTTCAAGGCTGAAGGGTCCACAAAGACATGGCTACAGTTTGTGCTTGCACAGTTTGATGTATGGCATGGGTCCAGCAGCTCCTTGCCTGCTGCATCCTTAACGTGCAGGTCTCCACTCCAGTGCACATCCCCAGGAAGGCTTTCCCAAACCACCCATTCCAGTGGTTCTCCTACAGTATCACCCTTGCCTTGCTTTTTTTTTTTTTAACTTGTAGTTCTTTATATGTTTTTGAGACAGGGGCGCTTGCCCAGGCTAGCCCAGTACTGGAATTACAGGCTCCTGCCACTCCATCCAGCTATTTTTCCTTCTTGTTCTTGTGTTTGTTAGTTAGTTGCTTCCACGTTTGTTTTCCAAAGGTGTTTTCTAGACAATCTCCCCCCCCCCCCCTGTAAAGCAATTATGAGGCTCTAAGTCTAAGCCATGGCTGGCCTGCCAGTCTGGCTACAGGGGGTCCTCAGACTGGGTTAGATACAGATACACATCAGTGTCAAAGCAAGAGATGAAGCCTTACACTGCCACTGAGTTAAAGCTTGGAAAAACATTTTTCTATTCCCCAAAGAAAAACAAGAGCTGAGAATTTTATACCATAAATCATTCAGGCAGAAAACCACACATTTGTCCATTTCATTTTGGTAAGAACAAAGCAGTTGTTTGCACATTCTCCTGCCGCACCTGCTCTGGCCTGCCCAGCGCAAACACCTCAGCCAAAAAGTGTAAATGGGTTGAGCCTACCTAGTCCACTAGAAAGTAAGTGCACTTTCCCTCATTTCAGCTAATCTAGGAAATCCAATAATAATTGTAAATGGGTAAGTTTAGAAAAGCTTTATGCCTTGCGAACATCGCTCTAAGCAACACACAACAAAGTACTAAATAATAATTATTCTTCCATTCACTGGGCTATTTATTAGCTTGATAATGGTGCAGTGTATTTCCCAACAGTCTTATTTGGTTTTCTGGCTCTATGAATGATATTTTAAATTCTTTTAGGCATGGCCGAGAGCAACACAAATGAATAATGTCATTAAAAAAATCATTAGATATGAAAATCTACGAGATGATGAAATCTCACTTGAGTAGAAAACAAAAGGGCCAACGTTCTATGAGCGTGGGCTCTCTCAGGCATTCATTCATGCTAAAACAACAACTGCGTTTCATCCATCTAAACTTGTAATTAGGATTCAAATTCATTTAAAATGATTAATTTGTACTGGCCTACCAAGATGGAAGACATTCTGTTAGGATCTTTCTGAACAGCAAGGGTTTTAACTACAAATGCTGAGCTCACAGTTTGCCCAAGAGCGAGTGACAATTAGCCCCATCCTTCTGAAACTGTTAATGTTGCTGGTCCTAAAATAAATGTCCATTCTGAATCAGGTTTCCGACATTTCCCTTTGGTCTGCAATCTGATGGAGACTATATTCAAAATGTACTTAGTCATTTTAAGTCACAGGCAAGAAGCAAAATGGCTCCCAAGCAGATTTACAAAAAAAAAAAAAAAAAAAGTGTTGCAGGAAGACAGGCTATTTCGTGGCAAGCCCAGAGAGCAGATCACCACATGAATCATGTTTTAATATAACTGAGCCACAGAATGAGTCCAAGCAGGATAATTTAGTTGGCCTCAAAACAACACAATAAACAGCAACTACTCTTTAACCCATAGAGATTTGACTGTGCAGATCACACTGTAGGAAGTGAAACAGACTGCTAGAAATAAGCAACTATTTACATATACAGTTCTGAACCTCAAACTTCTCCACCTGGGAGCACCTCCCCAAGGAGGTTGCTGGTCTGGCAACAGCCACAAACACCTCCCATGAGGGCTCAACGTGCACTTGTCATGGGGAAGGAAGGCTTGGGTTTGGGCTCTGATCTGGGAGGTTACCATGGAGGGCTGAGGAGGATGGAAGCAGAAGCATTGGCTGATTCTTAGAATTTCTACAATGGCTTTTGTTTCGGAGGCACTGGTGAGCTCATGAGCATCAAAATACACCTTTCTCCCCAAACCTTGACCTGTGTCCTAGAGCGCATGGAGAACCTTAATTTACAATGTCCTGAGCACAAAGGGGACAGAGAAAAGCTGTCACTGAGCAAGCCTCTGTAGATTTAGAAATGCAACCGAGATGTTAAGGTTTGAAGACTGCATTAAAAAAAAAAAAAAAAAAAAAAAAGAGTGTCTAAAGCCAGTTCAAATTCTGCGTGAGAAGACATAAAACTATAAGACTCTCACTTGGCAAGGGTCTCCTCCTTTTCTAATACATTCTTGTGCATATCTATTACTGCATTTTTAAATACGAGTTGGTTACCAAGGAAACAGGTTCTGGTCCAGTGTTAATTTGAAACTAAAATATTTTTGAGGGGTTAGGCTCAAAGGGAAGAGCTCATGAAATGATTCTGAAAAATGCCAGGATTTGGTACATGGAGAGCCCCAACTGTATTTCTGCAATGAGCCATTCTAGGGGCTCAGCTTCATTTAATGGAGCTCAATTTCTGCACAGAAGGCCATAGAAACATAGTATTTCTCCCTTTAAAAATGATGACTCCCCGCCCCCCAGCTATATGCACATACAAGTAGTGGATTTACCACTGTATATGACAAAAATATGATTTTGAAAGAATTGAACTTTTAATTTTCATATTTCACACAGTACAATTAAAAGTCCGCTTCTTAAAGATTAAGAATTTTTGATAGTTCCTATTGAGCTTATTTACGCTCTTTGAAATTAACTCAGAAACCCATTTGTTTTTAGTTTCAAGCTAAAACTGAACCAAATCACCAGACTTTTCAAAAAATTCTTTTGTCTAGTGGCGCCACACCTATCATACAACTGAATTTCTTTGAAAAAGAAATCATCTCACTTTTTACAGCAAAATCATTTTTTAAGTTCATGCTTATGTTTATGTAATATTTGGATTCGAGAGGCTGTCCAGTTTAATGCCATCCCCAACATATTACAAGTATCTTAGTTTTAATTTTAAAAGTCACATTTTAATGCATCTAATGTTTTTCCTGCATGGCTCAAAAACAAAAAAAAAAAAAAAAAAAGTCTATAAAGCATGCAAATTCCAACCTACCTGTACGCATCACTCAGAGCAGTGTTAGCATAAAAGACACTCGGCCATTTTTATGTGAGGCGATGGAGACCAACTGATTTCTCCGTCTTCTTGCTCACAAGTTTTTAGATTCGATTGCCACGCACACCAAAAATCATACGCAGAACAGCTTGAATGCACGTGATCACGAGGACTGGATTTATCAACAGCAAAACAGGGCTGAAAAAAGAAGTTTCTTATCCAAGGATTCTCTGAGGCTGCAACCAAGGAGGTGGTGTGTTCATTTTGTTTTTTTCTCCCTTGCTCCTTTGAGAGTTCAAAGCTCAGAGCTGACCACTGCAAAGGCCACTGTCACATTTGCTGAAAATCAAACCACAGATCCCAGCACTGAAAACACAAATCTATTGCTTGCACATGATGTAGTGCCTATGAGTTAAAAATAGAGTCCACTTTGCCTCCTACCTGCATAATAAACATGTAAGTTTCAAGTGTTTAATTTGATATTCACATTAATTAACAATACAACATACATTATTTAAAAGACAGCGAATGCAAGAAGAAAGGGGGAGACACCATCTGGTAGCAGAGTTTTGTTGTTCTTGTTTGGATTTTAGGGTTTTGTGGGATTTATTTGGCTTTGTTTAAAAAAAAAAAAAAAAGAAGACAGAATCTTAATTTGAATGTGATGAAAAGCAAAACCTCCAGAAGCAAATGAATCCGAAAAGAAAGGTGATGTCGAAATAACGAAGGTTGTAATGAGGCAAAGCAAGTCTTCGCTACCAGACGATAAGGCGTAGAAAGCATTTACATACTCACATCTGAAATACTAGGCAACATGTAATGAATTCTACACAGCACGCACACACAGCACAGCACAGCTAATCCTGCCTGCCATCTTAGGCTCACACAGGCAAGATACGTTCTGCATGCAGCACAGGAGCAAGCGAGCATGAGGGGAGGAGGAGGAGGCAAGGAACAGCTCACCTTAAATGCGGTATCTGATTAATGTTGTAAGTGACATTGCATATCAGCCTCAGAGTCTTGGCTCAACTGGGTAGGAGGGAACAAAGAAAAATGTCATCAACTGGTGATGCAAGATGAGCCCAATCACTAACCACTGTTTAGCAAACTCCAAATTCTGCAACCAGGCAGTAGAAGGCATTTCATGCACTTAAGCAGAGCGGCTGCACAATGAATAGTTCCTTCTGCATCTGAAAATCAAACAGTCCTTTTGCTAAGGAAGAAAATCAGCTGGAACGAATACTGTCAAATCCTCTTCTTGGAGAGAGCTTGCAATACAGTATGTATCTGCTTGGGGATGCATTTTATAGACTGTTAATTTCATAGAATTAGTAGCAGTAGCAGCAGCAGCAGCACAAAAAAAGAAAAAAAAAAATCCAAACCTGCTAAGCTACTGCCAAGTGAAGACAAATTGTGAAAAAAAAGGAATAGCATTTGTAGATTGTTTTTTTCCAAACCCTAAGGTGCCGGCAGGCTTGTAGAAGAATGCATGATCAGTTGTCTGTATCCGTTCTATAACCTTTAACCACAGGCAGTGTTAATGTATCCGGCTAAATGTATCTGCAGTACAGAATGGCAGACACCGCTGCAGACAGAACTGTATGAAAGATGGAAGTGAATTCTCTTACAGTTAGAAGCCAAAGAAAATCAGTATAGAAAAAGAAATTGATGTCAGGTTCCTTAGGGTGTACAGCTGGCCTTCGTAAACAATTAAAGCTATCTTTAGGATGTTGACCTAAATAATAGTAAGATTCACAGCAGCATACTGAAGGTGTTCCAAACATAGCAAATGCAGAGTGATTTGTCTTCCCCCTCCCCCTCCAAAGCCAACAAGCCAGTTACAGGAATACCAAAGGCAACGGACAGTCCACACTGGAGGGAGACGGTGTGTGCTGAGAGGCAATGTCCCTTTGTTTTTACTTTGAGGTTTACTGGAGCTACACTTGCACCATAGCATTGACGTTAGGAGGTCAGGGCTGATGCGGAGTTGCTATCCATTTTATGAATGACATGTTCCCTGAAAATTAAACCTCGTCTGCTCAGATACCAAATTTTATGCCTTCTTCAGTGTCACCTCCCCCGCTGCTCAGGATTGATGGGACCTAGTTTGACTGTGTGTAATAAACTGGGATGGCTTTCTGTAGACTAAAATCCATAACTATGAGAAGCTATATTTTAATTTTAAGAAGCCTGCAACGATTCATAGGCACAGACCCTTTCATCCCTTGCTCTCTCTCACGCACATACACATGCATGCACATACATTCACGCGCGCGCGCGCGCACACACACACACACACACACACACACACACACACACACTCGGAGCTCAAATTGCAACAAAAACGTTTAACGTGAGGAACAAACACTGTTAAAGGGCTGCTTATCCAGGATTTTAAAGAAATGCCTCATAAGCAAATACCATTTTGCTACAAAGCCAGTGTGACTATGTCCTCCAAGGAGGAAAACAGGGTAGCTTGGTAGATTTTTGTTGTTGTTGTTAAGATCTTACCAGCAGATTAAAAACAGAAAACGAACAAAAAACAAACAAACAAACAACAACAACAAAAACCTTAATTTTGAGACAACAAAACAGATTCTTTTCTACAAAGAAACCCTACCCACTCCCACCCTCACAGCCCAGATATAAGCTAGCATTTTTATGAAACGCTCTGAGGTTATTTTTAAATATGTAATCTTTACATTTTTCTTTCCACCTCTCACAGTCTTTAATTGCCTATTACATCACCAAATATGCTAATGTTAATTAATTTTAACAATGCAATGATGAATTTGATGTTTTCTTGGTTTGCCAGTTTTCTACCGACGCTACCCTCTGTTTGAGCTGCCTGACAATAATAAGGTTAGCAAAGCACTCTCGTGCCCTGGAAATGGCTTAGAGGAGAAAATCCATTTGAAAATTTCAGCTTAGGCAGTACGCTGCACAACTGGATCGTTTCTAGTTAGAATTCTGTCTTCTCCCTTGGAACGGAAAAGATTTGCGGCTGGCTGTGTCTGAAGCATCCCTGCCTATCTCATCTAGCTCATAGGCAGTATTCTGTCAGTGGGGTAGGCTGTCAGGATTGTGGGTCCTACCTGATCCACAGCACGTCGTCATCTTGTTGAAGCACACTTCTCTCTCACAAATGCTCCACAAACGAATGTGGCTTTAATGAAGACAGTAGCTCCAGTGCTACTAACACCAGTGATGGAGCCCTCTTCCCCACCCCCACATCATGGCTCTCTAAGCTCTGGCTAACAACATTGACGGCGGCAGAAAATTAGAACGGAGTGTCCTTGTGCTAATTCCTTCTTTACCAAGGGGGCCTAGAATTGGACAGTTATGTGGAGTTACAAGCACCAAGTTAACTACCGTCTGGTCACCTGTAAAGTGGGGGTCCTTCAAGAAGACTCGAAGAAGGTTGAAGGAAACGCCTTTGGCATGCGACACTCCGTATCTGTTGAGATAGTCCCCGTGAATGACATCGCAAAGCTAGACGTTCACGTTACACAGGTGCAAAGTATTAGGAAGATACGGAATCAGTGGTGACAATACCCAGACAAGTCAGTGCCTCCTCTGTCTGGGACAATAAATGAAAGTGACAACAGTCGTCCATCTCAAGCCCCCAGAGATGAGTGAATGGTGTTATATATCACTTTATAGCAGTGGTTTTCAACCTTCCTAAAGCTGTGACCCTTCAATATAGTCCCTCATGTTGTGTTAACCCCCAACCGTAAAATTATTTTCCTTGCTACTCTATAACTGTAATTTTGTTACTGTTATGAATCGTGATATAAATATCTGACATGCAAGATATCTGATGAGCGATCCTGTGAAAGGGTTGTTTGACCCCCCAAAGGGGGCATGACCCATACTTGAGAACCATTGCTTTATGGGGCAGGGTGGTGGCTGTGGTTGGGCCCCATACTGGTACTTCTTATAACCAGCTGCCAGGGCAAAGGGTTTCCACACCTCCCTGTGTGGTGCCCTTGTTCACTATTTGTGTCAAAATGAGCAAAAAGCCAGATATTGGATGTTATTTTGTGATGTCCCCAGACAGTGAGCAAACGTGATATATTTACCAAACCTACTTGGGTTAAACAAACATGAATTCTAGCTGTAAATATTCTGTGGAATGAATCTGTTTGGGCAGATGCTGTTAACTAATAAATCTTATTTTGTGCTGGGGGAGAAAAAAGCCATGCTCATGCTTGAATTATTTAAGCTTTGTTACAATTACAAGTGACATAGATATGCATTCGCTTAGGATTTTTCAAAAACCGAATGCCCTTCATCCTCAGGGCGTATGCACAGACATTAACTTAAATGAGAATTACTTTTCCACAGTGAAAATTGTAGGTTTTGACAAGTCAAAAGCAAGGTTCCCAAAACAATGTGGCAAGAGCAAGTTGGAGGACAGAGCGAGGAGTAGTGATTCTCTCTCTGATGTATGTTCTTGCTTGCCCTGGCCTCTGCGTTCTGCAGGCGGAGCTAATTTTACTTCCAGGCCTGTGGGTTAAAGTTAAATTGCATGGCTTATGCAAAGTACATAATTCAAGTATGAACAAAGCTTGACTCTTCTCATTTAAAAAAAAAAAACATCAAGTCAGGACACCAAGTCCCAGAGGAATCCTTGGTTTATAAACATTTGGATTGGTTTGCATATTTCTTGATGCCACTCACGGCTTTAAAAATTACAGCTGGTTTCATTTTATACCTAATATACATATCAGTAGGTGAACCCATGATCAGGTTAGATAGTCAACTGAGTTTTAAAAATAAATGCTTACCATGTGTAACATTTTTGTTTAAATTCTTAAAATATAAACGGCAGAAAATTTTTATGAGGTTGATTATATTCAGACCTGGAAACAGTTTGGTAGTTCTTTTTCCTTTTCTTTCCTTCTTTAATTTATTATTATTAATATCTGTGGTCTTTGAGACAGACTCTCAATGTGTAGTGCTAGCTGGCCAAGAACTCACTGTGTAGGTAAGTCTAGCATCAAACTCAGAGATACCTGCCTGCCTCTGCCTCCTGAATGCTGGGATTAAAGGCATGTGCTACCTCAACCTGCAATAAAGTGCTTTATCAATGACTTAAAATAACTTTATGGAGCTGGAGAGATGACTCAGCAGTTAAGAACACTGGTTGCTTTTTCAGGGGACTTATGTTTGACTCCCAGTACCTACATGGTATCTCATAACCATCTATAACTCCAGTTCCATGGGTTCCAACAACCTCTTCTGAACTCCATGAGCTCCAGGCACACTTGTGATACTCAGATACACACTCAGACAAAACACTTATACACATTTAAAAAAAAATCTAAAAAAATAATAGGATGATATTTTAGCTGACATTTCCAAGAAAGTCCATCAAGCTTCCAGTTGCTACATCTTGTCCAGAGATCAGGGCAGCAACTTCTGTGAGCTGGTCAAAGCTGAAAATCATACTTAATATGTTACCTATGTTATATAATAAATTCTAACCTAGTAATACTATATCTTACAGTACCAACTATCATCAGTTTTAAAGATAAATATCATATAGAGACTAGGATTAAAATCTGAGACTAGTTGGTTGAAAGCCTGGACCTTCCCTCAACTCTAAGGGATGAAACTAACTCCTGCATCTCATCTCCACCTAACTCCAGAAATCTTCCCACTAGGATGACATCCTGGGGGAAGGTTTCTCTTGGAGCACCCTAGTCCCCTGTGGCAGTGGCTACCCCTGTTTATATGAACCAGGCCAAGCATACTGTGGAGATCTAAGCTGTCACCAGTCAGAGACAGCCTGGGGCACAGCCATTTGATAAAAAGAATTAAAAAAAAAAAAAATCAGCCGGGTGCCTTTAATCACAGCACTCAGGAGGCAGAGGCAGGTGGATCTCTGTGAGTTCAAGACCAGCCTGGTCTATAAGAGCTAGTTCCAGGACAGCCTCCAAAGCCACAGAGAAACCCTGTCTTGAAAAACAAAAACAAAACAAAACAAAACAAAAACAAACAAACAAAAAGTAGACCATGTTGGGAAATTAGGAGTAGAAAGCAGAGCAACAATGCTGGAGGGAGGTTTGCTGCAGTTTGTAAATGTTTCATGGCACAAAGTATCCGGGGAAAGTTTACATTTCTGCACATGCTAACATCTCACGAGGAAAGCCCTGTTTTTTCCTATTACACCCTAGGCTTGGGTGTAGCTCAGTGTACATAAGGCTCCAAGTTCAACCCCTAGCACCACATACATACAGATTTGTCCCAAATCTCACCCTTAATCAGCTAGTTCACCCTCTCATTGTATTAAAAATCATGGCTGGCTTCCTTTTATACCTACTATGCTTAGCATTTATGAACAAATTCGTTAGAGATTATCTGGCTTTTAACCTAAATTAACAGTAAAGGGAAAAGTGCAATCATCGAGGCCAGCCTGGTCTCAAGTCACAAACAGTACTCTCTTCTTAAATGGGAAATCAATGAGGCGCTGAGAAGAATGTATATTCTTTTGTGTTTGGTTGGGAGGTTCTATACATGCCTGTTATTTGAGTCATAACATCTGTTAGTTTCCTTATTTCTCTGTTTTCTGTCTGGCAGATCTGTCCATTGGTGAGAGAGGGGTGTTGAAGTCTCCCACTGTTAGTGTGTGGGGTTTGATATGTGACTTAAGCCTTAGTGATGTTTCTTTTACAAATGTGGGTGCCGTTGTATTGGGAGCATAAATGTTCACAAGGATGACCCCAGCTAAGACTCCTAGCAATGGTGGAGACAGTGCCTAAACTGGCCTTTCCCTGTAATCACATTGGTGAACACGACAACTGTTATCACAGAGCCCTCATCCAGTAACTGATGGAACCAGATGCAGAGATCCACAACCAAACACCAGGTCAAGCTCCGAGAGTCGAGTCAGAGAGAGGGAGCAGGGAATATATGAGCAAGGGAGGTCAAGATCATGATGGGGAAATCTACAGAGACAGCTGAACCAAGCTGGTAGGAACTCATGAACTCTACACCAACAGCCATGGAGCCTCTATGGGACCGAACTAGGCCTTCCATATATGGGGGACAGTTGTGTAACTTGTCTATCTGAGAGGTCCCTGACAGTAGGACCAGGATCTTTCCCTGGTGCAGGAGGTAGCCTGTTGGAGCCCATTCCCCATGGTGGGATGCCACACTCAGCCTTGATGCAGGGGAGATGGGCTTGGTACTACCCCAACTTAATGTGCCAGACTTTGTCGACTCCCCATGGGAGCCCTTACCTGTTGGGAGGAGTGGATGGGGGGGTGAGCTGGGGGGGAGGATTGGAAGGGGGGCACAAGGGGGAGGGAGAACTGTGGTTAGAATGTAAAATGAAATGAAAAAAAATAAAATTTAAATAAAACAGAAAATCTAGTGCATGTTATGAGGCCCTTTCCCCAACATGTGCTTTTCCTTTATTTCATTGTATGTGTAGGTATACGAGTGTCTGAGGGGGTGTACATGCACATGCATATACATACATATGGGACCAGGGTTCAGTCTTGAGTGTAGTTGGCCTTAGATGACCATCCACCCTTTTCTTTTCTTTGTGACCCCTACCTACATGTTTTTTAGTGGACATTTTCTTTTTAACTTTATTGTAAAGAACTCACAAATAAAAACATCACACAGCTAGATTAAAGGAGCCACTCAAACAAACACTTTCCCAGCCATAAGCTCTATACAGCTCAATGGACATTTAGAATGGCCATTCTTGAAGCCTTGGGGTTTTGCTTAGGATTTCACACTTATACTTTCAATTGCATTTTAATGTGCATTTTCCACCATAAAAAAAGAAAAGCTATGATAGAGTTGAAAGTAGAAAAACATGTAGTATATTTTCTTTCATGACTCATGTGTGTTTTTAAGAGCCTGACTTTTGAGTAAAGCAGTAAGACATTTTCTTCAACTGCTACACATTTAAATGAATGAATGTTTAACAGCTGCTCTCTTTCCTCCTTCTTTCTTCCTTCCTTCCTTCTTTCCTCCCTCCCTCCCTTCCTTCCTTCCTCTTCTTGAAATAGGGCTTTCTAAGTAGCACTGGTTATCCCGGAAATTGCTATTTAGACCAGCGGTTGCTATCCAAACTCATAGAAATCTGCTTGCCTTTGCCTCCTGATCTAAAATCCCTTCTGTTTGTACTTGATTCTAAAAGAAACCACCCCAGCTTGCTTTCTGTGTTGAGCAGACAACAAGCTGGATTCCAAGCCTCCTGCCTCTTCATAGCTGTGGCAGATTATTTCCATTAATTGTCAGCAATTTTGTAAGCCAGTGAGAT